GACAACAAGAAATTTACATTAAAGCAAGAAAAATTAACTAAAATTAGTTGATCAATTAAAACAAAATCACATTTTTTGAAGACATGTATAGAGAGGAATACCTGTGCTCTTCTAGACACCATGGTTAGGGTTCTCAGGTGTGTTGCATACAGGTATAAGGCACTCTCCACCATTTCAGTGCATTGTATGTACTGCAAATGCATATTACGGTCCCATATTTCAGTGATCCTGGTTATGCAGACTTAAATACAATAAAATAAAATAATTAAACAATTACAATTTAAGAACAGACATTTACTTTTTAAAGAAACAAACAAGAGAAAACTAGTTACATAAGGAGGATCCCTTCTATTAATAGTACTTACCTAACATTGTCATTAAGGAGAGAGGAACTGAACATATGTTTCAGACAAGGAAACATGAAGAACACAAAGAAGTTTTGAGGACAATATTTTGGAAATGGCTATAAGGAAGACTGAAGGAGACAGGAATATTATAATAACTGATTGTAGGAAAACACATTGTTAGGACATGCAATGAATTGAAGTGACCCAGGATTATGTCCTACAGCAAGCTTGAGCAGAAACAGCACCAAATGTATGGGTTCAGTTCCAAGAGAATTCATTAGCTATTCCTTCCCATATGGCAAAGCCTACATTTGGAAAACGAAAATATGCAAACTCTCACTGTGGTCAGCAACTGTGAAGCTTTAGATTTTATCCTCAAGCAAATAGTGATGTTATTTCAAATTACAAGTAACAATTTTATAATTAGTATTTTATTGAATTTAAATAACATTTTATTTGAGAGCTGTTATTTCTTTAGAAAATATTGATACTGCACAGGAACTTATGGCATGGAATAATGTTTTATTTTCAGTATGAGAATATGTATTACCAATATTAAGCCAACACGTTGTAAAGAATGTTTTCAACTTTTAAAGTTGCAATTAAATTGATCCCATTATACTCATACATTTTAGAGAAAGATTCTGTATGCAACTGCCTATAAATTTATACTGTAATTGTAATTAATTTTTAATTGTATATCTTGCTAGTATTTAGTGGCATACAATGAAGAGTGTTCAACAAAACTGAAACTTATTAACCTAATTCCTTAATTGTAATCCAGAAGAAATTTGTGTTAAGAAAACGGGTTAGGCAGGTACATTCAAGAACATCCATGTAACATGTAAATTAAATGAATGTGCATTATGCATCTGAGAATATAAAAGTTACAGTGGCACCTTCTATGAGCATGGTAGTTGTATTAAAATATTTTGTAGCAAGTGAATGATTATTGTCACATAAGTAATTAGTCTATTCAACATTTTTTTCCAAAAATGATACTCGAGGTCGGCACATACAATACACCTGGAGATGTGGGATTTGACAAGTTTGCCAGAAGGCATCAATTGTATGAATTAGTTGTCTTTATACATATTAGTAGTAAAAAGACCTGACTGCATTTAATTAAGAGTGAAGATAGAAGTGTCAGAAAACTAATGCACTTATATTATACCATCCCCTTGGCTGAATAATTGAACATCCTATAGCTGACTACTGAACATGACTGTAGTGCACATTATCCAATCACCACCAAGCATTAGATCTTCCATAATTATAATGATCTTCTGAAAATCTGTGTAAGAGTTATATTTAGTATCATATCCAGGGATTTCATGTTGCAGCGACATCTCTGAGTCTTAATTGACTTGCAGTTCACTGTGCGAGCATGTTACTGATTACAGCAGTTTGCCACATTCAATCACAATGCACAATTTACTACAGATATTTCATCCTGTTGGATAGTGATGACCAACACAATTTCTATTAGGTTCAATTCAGTTCTCTTTATAGATTATGAGTGAGTGGGTTTAAAATTGCAGCAGCATGTATGACCGTATGCACCTGGACAAAAGTCAAGTTAAAACATCCATTATTTAACTTGGTATAAAATGAAATAAAATAATACATGTGTCAAACTGTAGAGGAATACTTAAATAAGTTGTAACTTTTAATATAAAATTTGAATTTTACTGCATATATTCATCAAGGAAAGCAGTTGTTTTATATATATAGGCCTATATGATGATTTAGGCATTTCTAATAAATTAAACATATATTCCAGGCTGTTATCTCTTGCAAAGCAAGGTATTGTGACGTGGATGGCGTAGTGGGAGGTGGAGCTCTTTAATTCTAGAAGTCCTGTGCCATTCTTAAAAATTCAATATTTCCACTATATTTTAATATGAAATTATCATACAAAAATTATTAGAGAGACCAATTATCAGAGTCCATATATATGAATATTCATCTGTATAGTTCCCATTTCTTAAAAGAAATCAATACCTTAAGTTTCCTTTAAAGCAATACCACCCTCTCACCACTGACATGCACTCCATTTTAAAAATATCATCAGAGATATACGTCTGATATGCACCAATTCTCTCTCCCATATGAATGCACACATGCACGCACACACTCAATCTCTAGTTCACTCATGCATGCACATGTGCACATGTACACACAAAATATTATTTTTCATATTAGATAAGCATGTTACTTAGTGTCTACAACATAAATGGAATCCATAAAGAATTTTCTTATCCTCAAACTATTCATCCTGTCAGACCTCACACTGTCAATATCTTAAACATATATTTGATGAGGTAAAAATAAAAAGCAATAAGAATTACATTTCTCTGGCATATTTTTGTTACAGCTAATGGATTAAAATTATAGGTTGTCTGTTTTACTCTATGTGGATCTATGTGTTTCAACTGTATTGAAGAAAATCTAGTGAAATTATTTTGAAAACAACACAGCAATCCATGAACAAACCCTGGGTGACATCGAGAACCACCTCATCAAGATAGACAGGCGGCACAAAATCTGCCCCATACAAGAAGGACGAGAGGAGTACGGAAACAAACCTACGTGGTTTAAAAAAAAAATTTAACTATTGACAATAAAGGTTTCTTAAATAACATCTAGAAACTTTTAAAAACTTTACAACACCAGGAAGCTGCTGTGATTGTGAAACGTTCGACTTTATGCGTACTATGCATTATAGGATATAAGTGTATCTATTTTAAATCAAAACACCTATTGTGATGGTAGTTTCCAGTTTGTAATGATATTACCTCTGAAGATGGCCCGTAAGGACCGAAACATGTAAGGGAGATAAGTTTTAATGTAGTATAAACTTACATGTCACATTGGACAGAGTGGTTTGTATTTATATTTTGAAATTATTTAAAAATCTCTCATTTTCTTGGGAAAGATAAATCTGCTCACTGAATTCTAGATTACTGCAATAAACAATAGAATTATACCCTTTCATGTATGTAACAAACGATTGCATCATAAATGTTGACAAAGGGATGAAGGTAAAATGTGGAAATATAGACACTATTCACCCTTAACAGGTTCTGACCAGCATGGAGAGCTGGAAATAATAACATTTGGAGAAGAAGGGAATGAGAAATCATGGAGAACAAAATGGGTAGCCTGTTATTGTCAAAGCTGGAACAGAGTTACTACCTCTAATTCAGAACTATTGCATGATGTGATATGAACCTCGGAACTTTTACTTGATGAGTAGCTAAATGGCATCAGAAACTAAAGAATGGTTCACTATAATTTTGTAGAACTTAAAGCTATTACAAACCAACCATCTGAATAAAACAAACTGTGCCATTTCTAATGAGAAAATGTGCTTTTAAAATTTATGGTATTCCTTGCAAAGACTGTTACATATTTTCAGTGGAACTTAAAGGTTTTTGGTTTCAACTTATGAAATGTTAATAAAGTAAAGTTAGGATATAGAAAGTTAAAATTTTGTGTGACTTTGGATTTCACTTGAATCAAATTTATAGATACTTTATGAATGATTTCACCCAAGTATTCAAGCAGTTTTAAGAATATCAAATCTACAACTGTCTAAACTGATAAATGAGACACAGTTATAATGCAGTGGATATCACTATAATTCAGCATCTTTTGAGAGTAAATTATCATATGTGTAAATGTTTACAGTAAAGATAAACAATTTTTTTTTTACTGAAATCCAACAGAAGGTGTTCTCCATGGAAAAACAACCATGCTGACAAAGATATATGTTGGCTTAGTAGAATGACAAGTCCAGTGCCTTCAGTGTTATGCACACATAAACATATATTTATGAGCAATGTGCCTATGGAAGCTCACATTGTTATCAGATGTACAAGGGATATTTAGAAAGACTGATAGATATTGCAAAACAATATAAAGGTTAATAAATGTTATCCTTTTATGCAATTTAGTAGCAAGAAATGTAAATAATACTGACTGAAAGATTCTGATGCTTGCAGGGGTAAGACAAGCAGGGTAGATAATGCATTTCATTACATTTCTCTCAGTTATAATTTCTAAATACAGTAGATTTTTCCACTGTCAGAAACTTGTTACTGATTCTTTTGTTCCATCTATAAAGAAAGAATGTTGCTATCACATTACATACAATATGGTGGTTCTATAAATTAATAAATGTAATACACTGGGATTGAACCAAATTATACGCCAATTAGGGATCTTAAAAATTTCACCAAAAATTATATACCTATTTAATAACCTTCAATATTTTTATGAAGACAATTTTATCCTGTATTCACTATCAGACATAAAGAATACAACTGGGAACAACAGAGCAGTAATGCTTTATTTATGAATCACACATATTTGTTTCACAGGGTGTATGAATTTTACAGAGGCAGAAACTTTGTTACAGATATTTTCCATGTAAAAATATTATGTAAGATTTGAGGTTGTCACAGATGTGGTTATGAGGAGTTATGTTTTCTGGGACATACTGCTGTATACTGCACTGAAAATCAGCTGATATTTTGGAGGAACATTTTGACCCCATCTTCATGGTATAAGAATAAGCCAAGCAAGAAGCAGGTAGCAAGCAGGAAGTGGCTCTGCTTGCTGCCTCTTTCTTGTTGGTTACTTGCTTGGTTTTTCTTTGACCTGAAGATGGAGGCAACATATCTCTCCAAATTGTAAGTTGAATTTTAATGAATACATAGCATTATATCATAGAAGCTAGAACTCATAAAACTTATGATGATCTGGGATAATCATTACAATTGTAATAATATGTGCATACTTTTCAGAAAGTAACATCAAAATTCTTCCTCATACAGGACAATATATAAGTTTGTTCTCAATATCTGTGCCTTTTATTTGCAAGATCTGATACTTCAAACAAACAGTTGAAATATCACTTTACTTGCAATAAGATGTATAACTTGACTCTTTTCCACTTAATATTGGTTTTATGCCAATGTAACAATTATTGAACATAACAATACAAAATATTTCATAACTGGCAGAACAGTTCTGTTACAAATGTGTAGAACAGTTTATGCATCTTAAGTTGGGAAAATATTCTGTAAAGGCCTCCCAATTATAGACACTGACTTTACTAGCAAGTACATATTATGGAACCAAAGGATCTAAATCCCATGGCAGGGGTCAGAGCACTACCTTCATTTTCACAATTTGGGGAATCTTTCCTCCACCCTTCTCTGGCAAGAAATAACAGCATTGCTAGGGTAAGTTGAGTTGCCAGATCATGTTTACTTTGGATGGTTTTACTGCAAAATTACGCTCACAATGTCTTTCTATGGGAGTGTAAAGTGCAAGGTGATGGCCAGTAGAACAGAGGAGGGTGGCACATCAGAAGGGGATGAGATTCTTCTCAAAAGCAAGCATGGAAGTAGACTCTCCATTTGTAATTCAGATATTTCCAGGGGTTTCAGATTCACTGGCTGTGCTGTAAATCAGTTGGTAATGATGCATATTGAAACAATCTAAAAGATTAGAATTAAAAATGGTCCATGACTAGCATCATACTCAGCATGCAGTACTGCATTCCCTTCATACTTTTGACCATAACTCATGATCTAATAATTTATTAAACAGAGTTTTGTTTAGGCCAATAGTATTGTTCAAGGTGTTGACCAAGCATGTGGCAGACCAGATTTCTGTGGCTATATTCAGGGAAAGTTAAAGCAAGCAGCATTTAGGCTATTTACAGAAAATCAGAATAAATTTCTTTGCCTGTACAAGACTAGGTCACAATGAATAATTAAACAAACCATTATTTTTTCCAAAAGCATCTGATGTTTTCTTTGTATACAAAACTTTCATAGTTTGCAATGAGTAAATTACTTGTATTTATATTACTGATACTACAAATGCAATCCACATTCACTATCATTTCCACTTTATCTTAACATCAGCACGTGAGGAATAAAGGTTATGAATAAGAGTGTTCACAAAACATTATTTGGAAAACTTTGATTAATAGGCAATAACTATTCAAACTTTGTTACTTTTATCACTACATCAAAAACACATGCTCATTTACTGCATTTTATGTGAGTTAGTGAAATGTTACACAACATATCAATATTAATGTTTGATTTCTCATAATCTTTAAAAATATAGTCTTTCGTAACACTACTTGCTTGTCACGTTATTAAACTACTATGGAAGTTGCATGAGGATTCTCAGACATAAGGTCGGCACTTGATATAAAGATGACTACCTGCTCCATTCGTTCACCTTTAATGAGCATAAAAAATGTTAACATATATAATAAATTCAGTTCTGTTTTATGTTAATCCTGTTTACTGTTAAAGGTCAATTGTCTCTGTGCATTTACTATATTCTGTACAGAAATTAAAAGCATATCACAAATTGCACACTAATGACTCAATTGTTATACAGATGATGCTTGCAACAGTTCTATGTTTGTAAAAAAATTAATCATTCTACATTACACAAAAATTTAAAATCATAATGTCATCATTGAAATCCATACCTCTAATTTTTTTGCCCTCCAATCATGGAAAATTATCTCTAATGGATACAATCGAGCAAATACATAAAGGCTGCATTGTAATTTATGGTCACGGCATGAAACTTGTCTCAGCATTTGCTTTAGGTGTGCATATAATGACAGCATTTTCTCAAGTGTTTATTTCGACTTTATTGATCTGTGCGCTCAAACAATTTCACAAGTCAGACTACTGTATTCTATTTTAATGTTACCACATAAATTATTCATTATCTTCTGCATGCATTTGCAGCACTGTTAAATATTTACTGTGCATGTGTTCGAAAAATTTGACACATAACAAACGATATCCTTTTCTGAATGAAGACAATTTAAATACAACCACAAAAAAAAAAAAAAAAAGGTGCAACGGTTTTAAAGATTCTGGAAAGACCAGCTGCAGACAGAAAAATTAATATGACAATAGCTGACATATCTGGAAAGATATTAATGGCTAGGCATTTATGTTTCTGACTTAGTGGATAAGCAAATATCAATAACATTCTGATATAAAAGTCATATTGGCAAACAAAATTTGACAAAATTTGGGACTAAGTTACATCAGAATTCTATAATCCATCATTAATTAACAATTGTAATGAATACAATTATTAAATATTTTACCATATTGCCTCCTTATCATACATTACAAGCAATTAAATTTCTCTCAGATGCTGCCAGTTGAAAATAACATGAACTAATATACTATCTAGTCTAAAACCTGACAAAATATATTCCAGCACAGAAAACAATTATTATATTTTCTCAGGTGTAAGTGCAATATTACACTTGTTCCTAAAGAAAGAAAATATTATGACAAGAGAGCCAGAAGAGACAGCCATTGCTAGACAATAGCAAACAAAACATGCCTTTGCAGCAATGAATCAACATGCAACAATAGAGGAAATGTTGGAGAGTCAACACACAGTGATAGATGACCTGTAGGAAATGGTGTTTTCTATGTGGTCACTGCCAACTTTATATAACAAGAACAACTGGACAAGCCAGTGAGTGGGCAGTCATGGCTAAGATGTCATGAGTTGCAGCTGAGTGTCAGAAATGGCTAGGAGGCCAAGAGTTGCGGTTGAGAGTAAGGTTCAAGCCAGCAGCCATTCAGCAATGATGAGAGCACAGAAGCTGAAGAACCTCTATGGTTAGCAGCTGTAACCTAATGATGCCTAGTGAAGAGTATAACCAAGCAATGACCAATGAAAGCATGGCAGACATAGGCTTAGCATGTGCTCTAGTGATCCTTAAAACATGTAAACAAGTGACAGCATTGTGATGATCTGCACGTTCAATAAATCCAATTACCAATCCAAACCCAGTGTCTACTCACTAACATGTGATAATATTATTAAAGTTAATGGATTTCTTATTCTTGGCTAACATTCACAGAGTCCTCGTACCTCACATGTGGTTTGTATAAAATCTAGTTTAATTATAGGTTTGGTTTACTTTTCATGCACAAGTTTCAATGAACTTTTATGTTATAAATTTATAAATACAGGACAATGGATCTTCCAGTAATATTTTTTCACTACAAGTGACTGAAAAAATTGTTTTTACAAATTTATAAAACTTTCATATCAGTGCTCATTTTTACATCATATATGATTCTTCTGATAACAAATTCTTTAATTCTTCTAAGTGTTGAATCACACATAAATATAATCATATGATTATATATAACCTTAACAGTAAAATGTCATGAATTTCAAAATTTTAATCCATAAATCTTTTTATTTGTAATGGTAGTTTTGCAAAGTATAATATATTTTTGTTCCACACATGCAAAAAATAAAAACTGAATTAGCTGAAAGATAACAGAATATCTGAAGATTTTTAGGGCAAATTTCAGATTTTTAAAATGAACAGAATAAAAGTTCCAGCCAGACAAAACAATGATTACAATGTAGATAATGAAAAGATCAGTCCAGTGCGACTTTTCATTATCTACTCTGTAATTAATAGTGTGACAGACCAGAATGAGACAAGTTAAATTAATGATTACAATATTATACATAGAAAGAGGCAGCACTTTTGTATCACAATTACAAAATTACTTTATATCTTCAGAATAACTATTCATGGCAATAAGAGAATTGTTGATCAGTGTCATTCATTAAATGAATTCATTATCAGAATTAATACATTTTTCAGTATTTGGTTTTATTTTACCAGTATGCTAACAAAATATATATTACTTTCATTACAGTTGTTGGTCAATAGTCTATTTAAATTATATATATCCTTAATAACTAATGTGCTTCTAACTTATTATTAACTTATTAACTTATTACTTTTCTTAGGTTTGTTTATTCATTGTGTGTGGCATTTGTTAAAATTCTTGATTTTTGGTGACAAAGTTTACTATCTCTGTCAGTGGAAGTATTTTGTTTTGTACAGGAGTAGAATATGGAAGAACATATTACTTCCATAACATCCTCTGAATTTCAAAATTCATAATGAGATGCCATTCATATATTACACAAAGCCAGCAATGAATATAACAAAGTTTACTCTAACGGAATATTTTGATGAAAAATAGCAAATAAATTACTAATGAAATGTTAATTTGTGTTTAAACATGTGGTTGAGAACGAAATTTATGTTCGTGCATGTGGAAACTTTTATTCCACGTTTTGACGTGTGACCTTGATAATTTTAACATCCCTGCTCCAGAAAAGAGCTTCCATAAGGTAACTGGGTGAGGCCAGTATTTGTTTAAATATGCAGTGTGGCCATAAAGTCATGACTGCAGAGAAGTAGTGCACATACAAGTTTATAACTTCGATAATTTGTGCAGAGTGGGGCATAAATTTGTAACTATTGTTCTCAGTGAATTAGTGTAACATTTAAATACATGGCGTCTGGCTAAATTGTATATTTTAGTGAGATTATTATACTGCTGTATTTTTAAATGATTATAAAAATGTCAACTGTCTTGAATTATTTCTAATGGTCCCATGCCATTTATAGTTACAGATCCTACAGTCATTTTAAAACTAGACTGACGTTTTTCATGCATACATGAATAACAGTATATTTGGTATTCAATACCAGTTCTATAAATTCAGTCTGTATGATAATAACTATATCTTTGTGTGTCTACCTAAAATAATGTTCATACTCAGAAGAGTTCAGACACAATGCAGAGTCTTGCAATGAAACATTTGAGAAAATACCAATCAAACTTCTTATACTTACTGACTAGAGTCAGCCTTGTTATAATTCTAAAGCAAAAGATGACTGACAGATTTATTCCTTATATTATATAAATACTTAACTCGTGAAAAAACAAAAGAAACTCCCTGAACAGAAAACCTTCTATAGCACTAGTTGTGTCAGTTTATACAAAACATAAAGGAAAAAAAATGGCCTTACTTTATAAACTATTATGTTGACCAGTTTTAATATTCATATAAATATTGATATTTATTTGAATAGATTTGTAGCCATGCTCAACGTCATTAAAAAGTTCAGATGTACATCACACTATCTGTCTGCTGTCAGAATGGTTGCCCAAATGCTTTGCAGTTTGAGCAATGTCATATCTTAAACAAATTACTTTCATTTTGTCTATTTTGAGTAACAAAATAATTATAGTAAAAAGGACAAGCAGCATAGAGCACGTGCCACTGAGTCATCTTGTAGATTTTCATTGGACATATATGGAGCAAGAGAATATAACAGTAACATAGAGAGTATCTGCACGTAGAAAACTGTTTAGTTTATGGCACAATGACAATGAAAATTCAAAAGCTGATCACTGCCATCTGAAGGTCTGTTAGCATAATATATTATACAGCCTCAGAAATTAACTACATATGAGGTCATCCACTAGGCTGTAACATCTTGCTGTACTCACTTCACATTGTACAAGATACTTTCACAGAAGATTAGACAATGTGTCTCCAGTTCTGGTATAGTTACACATTAAGGTCAGCCATCATTTTCCTGAAGTCTGCTAATGTGTTGTAATCAGGATCTGAGTCAATATCAGCAAAATCTCGACTGGAGTCTGATTTGGCAAAACTAGGATTATAGCGACTCAAGGAGAGAGGGCAGGGTAGCAATTCTGGCATCACTGAGTGGTGTGTGATAAGCGCTGTGAGTGTAGAAAATTCCTTTGTGAATCCCTGAAACCAACAAATTTATGCTAATACCATGTGCAAATACTTTACAATTTCAGTTAAACCAACATAACAGGAACTCACAAATGCTGTTGAGTGTACTCGTACTTAATATAAAAAAAATCTATGATCACAGAACATTATTTTCATAATTCATATGAAAATGTGAAATATAAAATAGGGGAATAAATAAAGTAGGTCACTGGTGGTAAGTCATTTTACGTTATATAAGAAGCAACAAGATGTTAAATACAGAGAAAACATTTCCTCCTGACACAGAATTCTTAATTACTTTTCTGTTTCTTATGCACATACTATCTGTGCATGATAAGTTTTACTTTTAAAATGTATCTTCAAAATATAAATAAACAAGCAAGTTACTCTATGGTACAGGGCCTTCATTAAGAAGTTTAAATATAATCATTTAGCTAAAAAATTCTCTACTTTCATAGAATCCATGGGTACGTCACTGTGTTCATAAACGCCTGAAACCAAACCCTATTCTATTATAATTATTTTTACAATTGTAATAGCTAAAGCACACAAATATTCCACTATTTTTCTTTTTTCACTGTGGATATTATAAACCTTGATCAGCTACTTAATATATTATCAGCAGTTCCAGCCACTTAAAATGTGTTAAAGGATTAAGCTTGCTTATGTCTTTTGCTGATGAAATCAAACTGTAGGGTAGGGAAACAGACCCATACAGAATATGTATCATTAAAAACACTCATTCTCTGTCCTTTGAATTTTTATTCACTCCATACACTTTCTTTTGGAACACAGGTAACAAAAAAATTTCACATTTTCTTAAAATAAAAATTGGATTATAGATTCTTGCTCACTTCTGATGCAGTCTATAATTACAGCAGCCATATTAAGAATGTGACAATACAGTCAGGGGGGCATGTGGTAGTGTAACTGGTTGAGGCACTATGCTACAAGCCAGAAGGTCATGGGATTGAATCCCAAAGAGGTGAATTTTTTCAATTTCCCTAATCCTTCCAGCCGCACTATGGCCCTGGGGTAAACTCAGCCTCTAACAGAAATGAGTGACAGGAATCCTCCTGGGGGGCAAATGGGCGGCCAGCGCATAAGGCTGACAACCTTACCGCCATCTGTGAGCTGACTGTTTAGACAATTTGGGAGCCTCGAAGTCTCACAACCCTATGGACCTTCAAGGTCTGTTACAGGGATAGCTTTACCTATTTTTTTTTAACAATACTCTCAGTCAAAAGACAATAAAGTCATGCTCTTCAGTGCTACCATCACTTTTGATGTAAACTAAATTGTGTACAGTTTTTTACTTCCCCTCATGTATATAATGTGTGACTTGTAACGTGACAATATCAGAATACATACCTTGATCTTGTAGCCTTTATTTGTCCTCATGATGAGGTAGTGTGCTATTCCTGAGGGCTGGAAATCTCTAGGAACCCTTAGTGATAAAGCATAACACCCAGGCTTGCTCGTGGACTCACGAACCATAAAGGCTCCAACTGGTTCCTGGCCAAGAACCTCCAGGGTGATTTCACTAAAACATATGGCAATAGGGCCACACTGTAAATGGTATAAGTAATTATAGGCCAAGTGTGAACTATTTTTGTGATGCTATTATAAGCTGATGAGGATTTGTTGATAAGATGATAGCTGACTTATCAATGATGAATTGAAAGGGATGTATGAGAAGGTGGCCTTGACATAATTCAAGATGATATTCTGGTATTTTTCTGGATGGAATGACGAAGACTATGAAAACCCTCAGATCATGTGATTTCCAGTATGGGTCTGAGTCAGGTACTTTCCAAATGTAAGTCAATGTTACCAGTGAGTCAAACTATTCAGTAACAAGTGAGTCACATGTGGTTCACACAGGACTGTGCTCCACCACGTTACAGTTGTCAAGTGCCTCAACAGTTGTCAAAAAATTATCCTTGACTGGTTGCAGACATGAAACTCCAGTTCCGTAGCATGTTCACCTGATTTGGATCCTCTCAATTTTTTTTGTGGAGATATTTTAAAATATAGGCGGAGGAATTGTGAAATTGAACTCAATAATTTTCAAGTGAAATATACACTTGGAATCTTTGTATGCTGGCAAGTTTCTTTTATTTTTTCTTTTGCAGAAGTGAGCTGTTTGTCCAAGAACATTTTGAGAACCTCTTGTAAGAAAATAAAAATTAAGAGGTTATTAATGGCTGTTTTGTTTTTTCTTTTCTTACATACAACCTGTTAAACTCATGAAGTATTTAAGGTATGACCATAAATACTAACATTAGAATAACTTTAACTTTCTGAGAATGGTCTATTTTAATGCCAAGAAATAATCCTGTTAAATATAGCATGCAATAATAAGACACTCTGCATATTCTTGTTAGTAAGTTAAATTCCCTTTTTCGCTATGATACAGTGACATTTTTATTCTACTGCTTACTTGTCTGGGATGGTGTATTGGTGATCCATGGGATGGTGAAAACAGCCTGTCTATCTAGGGAGTATGACACCAACAGTGGAATGGAAGATGACGGGGTTGCCCATCATTTCAGTTAATAACTGAGAAAAGACTGGCAATACTTCAAATTTTCATGTTTCATACATGTTTACACAGGAGCTGGGCTGGATGACTGAGGGATGGAGTTCGAGTCCTGGTAGTGTCAAGAATTTTCTTTTCTCCATGTCATCCAGACCGGCTATGGAGTTCATCCAACCTCCTATTCAATGGGCATCAGAGGCTTTTTCCCTGAGGGGCAAAGTGGCCGGGGCGCGAAGATGACTAGTCGCTTCCAGCTAGTGCCAAGGTCAAGAAAATGCGGATCTATACATCCACTCCCCCACATGCTCTCATGGAGTAGTGCTTAATTAGTTAAGCACAGGGACAACTTCACCTTTTTACATGTTTATAAAAATCAAAGAATACTTAATTGGGACACTTGGTGTGTCTATAATTTCCCACTCATGATTTCTTCGCTTAAATTTGGGGAAGCACTCCTTATACAATTATACTTACAGAATATGACTTTGGCTTATATCAGTCAACCCTTTTTTGTCCTTTATTTAAGACCTAATTTTCTTTAAACATCTAGTTGCCAGAACTTCCTATAATACATGTTCACAGTCTTATTTAGTATATAGATATTTATGGACACGTGGATAATTTCATGGGTCTTTCATTACCGTGGTATTCCAGCCTGGAACCAAGGTGCTGCCCGGAGTTCACCTTCTTCAGTCCGATTATTAAGGCTATCAGTGCGCTCTGGCAAAGGAGGAGGTGTGGGGGTGGAAACATGAGTACTGCCATCTGCTGGTGGCTGCAGTGGACAGGACCCTGAACTGCAGGAACTGATCTGTGAGATTCGCTTCGATTTGAAATCCTGGTCAGTGGAAGCAGGAGAACTTTGACTCAACCTGAATGAAGAAAAGTTTGACACCCTTTAGTCACAAGTACCAATAGCAATGAACTATTTATTTTAACTTTTATGGTGGTTTGGAAAAGATAACATATCAATCACAGACTTTAATCCAAAGAAGAAACAGAAACACTGCATGGCTACTGATATCCCTAAACTCCTTACAGTCTTCTGGCAACTTTTAACACTTATATCATATTCTTGGCATACATCAATGTTACAAAATTTGATCAGTGAACAATAATACATGTTCTGAACATAGCTGCTTATGATTTGAGCTGCAGCACCAACTTCATTTATGGCAATCCACAAGGTGTACATTATTGTTTCTTACAATGACTCTGAATCATTTGTGTGAATGTAATTAGTGCCAATTCTTTCAATGGCTCTTGCAGCCTACTCATGGCCCTGGCCTCTTATTCAGTTCCATAATGATTTTTCACAGATGTATGACTCCTTGAATGAGTGATTAGCTCACCACAAGGCCTCTACCCAATCACAGAATAACTCAAACAAAGAATAAACACATACACACACTAAACATCCATGTCATAAGTGAAATTTGAACCACAATCCCAGCGTCCGAGCTGGTGAAGACAGTTCATGCCTTAGACCATACAGCCACTGCAATTAGTGCCATATAAGGCAAAATTATTTTCTGTAGGATATTTATCTCATGTTTNGAAGAATAAACACATACACACACTAAACATCCATGTCATAAGTGAAATTTGAACCACAATCCCAGCGTCCGAGCTGGTGAAGACAGTTCATGCCTTAGACCATGCAGCCACTGCAATCAGCAATTAGTGCCAATATAAGGCAAAATTATTTTCTGTAGAATATTTATCTCATGTTGTCTCTGATGTTGTAAATGAATAACTTGACTAAATTACTAGAGCATTAAGTACTAGAATGATCTATGCTTTGACTAGCTATTGGTTTATTTATTACTTATGAAAAATTTTTAGAAATAAGATAGTCCCATGTAAGAAATGTGGCAATTAATGAATTCTAGAAAGTGTCAGAAGGTACTCATATTTGCCTAACAATCTCCTGCATGTCTCTGGTGGAATCAAATCTATGCTTATTTCTTACTACACATCTATGAATACCTGTTATTGTCGATTTCTATATGTTTGGTCTGGATTTCACGGTTGTTGTCAAGTAGATCACCTCCACTTAACGGTTTTGCAGAGTTTCTTGATGTGTCAGACTCTGTAATAGCTTCATTCACATAACCACCTGACAAGGGACGATTACTGGGGGTTGTAGGGCTCCCGCTGCTCATCACAAGAGGGCAGCTATCATCTCCACCCCCTCCTAATATTGACCCATTACCTCCTGACAAACCCATAGCCAGTCGCTTAATTAATGGTGGCTTGTCAGTGAGACGTTTATATGAGTTCAGTTCTGTGGGAGAGTTACTTTCATCACTGCTAGGGGTGCTCTGTTGTGACTGAGTCAGAAGCACATTTTTCTGGTCGTCTTCAGATGGTGCCAGACTTGTTCCAATGGTGGCTGCTGACACACTATTGAAGCTGTGGAGAGAACGGAGTCCTGGGATGGAACTAGGAGGAGCGACGACAGGCACCTTGATGCCTGCTAGCCGCAACGTTGGTGATTCTGGATGTCGAGGCCCTGCACTCAACTGCACATTCATGGTTGCTGTTGTGGTGTCAGTGTTGTCTGATGGTCGAGGGGATGACTGTCCTCCACCTTTCACTTGCTTTGTCTGGAAACATAAACAGGTATGCCTATACTCTGCAGTGCACTTTGTACATGAAAGGAATAATTTAAATGAAAGATCAGGGTTTCTACTGAAGTGACCGAAAATAGTTGCTAAACCAATCACCCTCTCCCTGATTAACTTTTGCTTCTTTGATAGTTCTGACCTGCTATATTAAAAATTTCACATACTCATGGTCACCAAAATATGTTGACCTACATTCATTTTTCACTGTCCTAGAGAATGATTGTAAAGGGAAGCGGCCAACTAAACCTCTAGATCACTGCTTTTCAAAATTCTCTTCCTTGCAGCAAATCCACCTCTCACATTAAATATCATAACACAGATAACAGTCCTGGCCTATTTGAATCTCAACTACAGAGAAGATGAGATAAAATGGAATGTCAATAACTAGGTGCATTATGAAAAAAAAAACACCAATTATTTTCATGACTGTCCACATGTAACAGGGCCCAACACCCTGACTTGTTTGGATAAGTCTTGATTATTTGACAATATTCCACCAGTCCATCTTAATTTTATTTCAGTCTTGATCATTTCAAGTGTTTGCGACAATTCATGTCAATTCAAGCACAAATCTTTTAGCATGAGGTAGGCCAGAGTCCTATACCAGAGTGTAATGAAACACTTTCCAATTAATTTTTTAGGCATATGAAACTCAAAGTACGTCCAATGATTGTTTAGTTGTGGTTGTCATTCAAGTTTGACAGATAAGGGTGCTTACTGAACAGCTAAGTATTTTGTACAGAAAGTGTGGTAACTGTAAATGTTATTCAAGTTCCACAGGAAAGGGTACTTATTACATAGTCGAGTATCATGTACCATAAAACAAAGTGATTTTTAAAATGAAGTTTATTTATTTATTTATGATCAAGTCAAGGAGGATAAGGTGGACAGGGCATGTAGCACGAATGGGGGAGAAGACGAATGCATATAGGATATTGGTGGGAAAGCCAGAAGGAACGAGACCATTGGGAAGACCAAGGCGTAGGTGGGTGGACAATATTAAAACGGATCTTAAGAGAGATAGGATGGAATGGCACGGATTGGACTGATCTAGCTCAGGATAGGGACCAGTGGAGGTCTCTTGTGAACACGGTAATAAACCTTTGGGTTCCATAAGCTGGGAAAAACTTCAGTAGCTGCAGATTTGGCTTCTCCTCAAGAAGGGCTCAGCTCCATAAGTAAGTAAAAATGTTTAATTTAATGATGCTATTAGTGGCTAAAACTACATATCATTGAATGACAGGACGGTTAGGCTTAGTGAATGATGAACTGGTAAAAGTATGGAAGGAAGTGATCATTCAGAGATTGGAGATCTTAGATTTATAAGGTATATAATTAGGAATGATAAATGGCAAGCAGACGGAGCAGAACTGGCACAACACACATGCGTATTTTAAAGAAGATCTAAACGTTTGTGACAATGGTAAGTAAAGTAAAGCTATCCCTGTACCAGGCCGTGAAAGCCCATAGGGTTGTGAGACGTTGAGGGTCCCACATTATCTAGATAATCGGCTCAAAGAGAGCGGTAAGGTATATTAATAAAATGACCAAATTTTAGGACATTATCTATCATCCTAATTTTTATTCCAAACAACATTTCAGAGACTGAATTGTCTGTCCTCAGGTAAAAAGCTCAGTGGTGATAAACATATGTACCACATGTATTAGCAGTAAAATTTAAAAAAATTTAACCGAAGAGTGATGTGTTTCATATGATTTTCAGCATAGAGATTATTACTCTACACAGCATAAACTACTCGTAACTGGTCTTTGTAATGGAGATGATGTGTGCTTCCTGTGAGGTAGGGAATGAATGTTTAAATATTAAACAGTGCAGTCACATCCTTCATGATCCATCTCTACTTAAAATCTTTCACACAAATATTAACTGGACAAATCATATTAATTACCTTTGAGTGTTTCTTTGTGTGTAGTTTAGTCGGACGTGTGTTCCTTGTAACAAAGGAACACAGTGGATGCAGCAACATGAAAATAGCATGAATGAAGCATGAGTGTACATTAGCGAATAACGACGACTTGCAATAATAGATGTATGACCTGATGCAATGCAGCGATTTCTATAAATCAGTTAACAGTTGCCTTGTATGGCCTAAACATGTTGCATGTTGTGATTTCAACATTTTATGAATTTTAAATGTGACTGTAAATGGCATTTTACAATAAAATGTTGTGTTGCATTGTAGATGGAAGCAAGTGGATGAGGGTTATAATTACATGTAGTCACAGATCTGTAAGCCTTCAATAAATACAAATACCAATCCAAACCCCGTCTATAGTCACTCCAAACACGTGATAATATTTTCAATAAAGCAATGGAGCATATGTTAAGGGAACATTAGAGAACCTCCAACTTTCTTCTGTTTGCTTGACTGCTGGCTAGAAGTCATTATGCATCTGTAAGGTTCTAAGACTGGCCATCTTGAGGAAGATTTTCTTGGTTTTCCTCTGTCTTTAAGCAAATGCTGGTATGGTTCCCAAGTTCCAGGTTCCTGGTGAGTGTTTCTCATACAGCCCTTCAGAATTAAATTAAACAAAATTAAACCCCATTTCTGCCAAAGCCACTATTTTTTAAATATAAAGACGACATTAATTCAGAAAATCAAAATTCCACAGTCTTTGCTTCAAGCCATTGCTTCTAACTCTCCAAACGTCTTCACTTTCACTCTGCACTTGACAGAACAACAACTGGGCGAAGCCTACTAACCTTCTAACTAAGCAATACTGTTTTACCTTTCCTGCAATATGTGTCTCTCTCACTTTTACCATAACTTTTCACTTTTCAGGCTTCAATGGGTTAAATCAGTACTAGTCTGTGCAGAAAGGGGCAAAATATGAGAACATTCCTTCAACATATGAGAACATACCTTGTGCAACTTCATTTCCCATAGAACATTCAAGCTATCCTCAGTTTCTCCAGGTAGATGCTGGGATATTACTTCGATTGGGCCATGAACGCTTCCTTCCACATATTTCTAATTCATTCGTTAATCGTTCTATCATTCGATGTTATATACATCAAAATGTCTTCAGAAATGAGCTCCACAAGTGGCGGTAACTCCTTGTAAATCACTCTGAGACTGAACAGTCTGAGGTACTGCCTTCAAAATGAAATGACTCACAGCAAAAGAACATTCAAACTAATAAGCAATGCATAATACAGTATATATGTAAGAAGTTAATGAAGTATGCTGTTATAATTTGAGGTAAACGTGCTAAAACACATGAAGAACTACAAGTTGAGTATAAGGCATGGCAACAATCATCCATTTGTTTAACCTCTAGCTTAGTTACTTAGAAGCAACTAATTTGTTTCGAACGAGGCATGGGAATGTATCAGCTTGCTCTGTTATTTGGAATCATTTTCAATTTGAATTATCCATGAAGCTCCCCCTTAACATGAGAACGTATCATAACATAGTAACATGGAGAAGAAGAGGTCGTAGGCTGTAAATTATTTTGCTGGGAGCAAAGAGTATGTTAATGACAGAAAATCGGTAATCCGGCATATTCCAAACAGTCAAGCCAAGGCAAAATTTGGAATAAGTTAACACTTATTGGTATATACAAATAAATAAGCAACATAAAAACGTGCTGTATACCGAGCTATGTTTCGAGGTGTGAAAGGCTGTGCCTATCAGGTTTTACAGTCTGTAGCCTGTGTACAACTGCACGGGAATTCTTTATCTAAGACACAGCAACAACTATTGCTCATTTTATCCTATCCTGCAACATAGAAAGATTGGCTTCTGGCCACCTGTAACTGTTGTGCTCATACGTCTTTTTTTTTTGTGTGCTTCGTCTAACAACTTTGTCAATTTGACTGAAACAGACGCCTCTGCTCCGTAAACTAACCAGCAGAGGATGGCCGCGCCATAGCTCAAGCGGTTAGTCACTGGCTTCCCACCGCGGCGGCCCGGGTTCGATGCCGGGTCTGGACAAAGTGGCGCTGGGGCAGATTTCCTCCACGTACTTCGGTTTCCCCTGCCAATCTTCATTTCACCAATTCCTCCACAATCAGCCTCATCTATCATCTGGGGCTAGTAACAATAGGCCAGAAGTGGCCGTAGTACAAGGGACTCAGTCCCACCCCACTAGCAATAAAACAAAACCAGCAGAGGAGGATCTTTTAAGGGAGTCATATATTTATATGACAAGATGTTTATGAGAAATTTCATAGTATTGTAACGGATTTGCTCAAAGCATTTCTAGGCAACGGCTCGGTAAACACGTTCCAACGTGCAACATTAGAAGATGTGTCTCAGTGGGTGAACGTTACTGCTCGTTGCAAGGCAACAGTCAGCGCGCCAATAAAGTCGCTCTGCTAGGAATCATGTGACTTATGATTTCTGTGTTGTCTGTGCGGAGCCTATATAACGAAGACATGTTCTAGCTTAGATCAGTGCAGCGCGCAGTGCAGTGCAGTGCAGTGTAGTTAAGAGTTAGTTGCAAGAGTACGGCTGTAAAGAGAAGACTTTATGTGTATTTATCTGAAGCGATAGGTTCTGTGTTGAGGTCCGTTGCTAGAAGACGACTAATGGAAATTGAAAATCCTAATGCGTGTACAACGGTGAATTGTGTAAATCAGCGATAGTGTTGTATTAATTGTAATTAAGAGAGATTGTAACCGAAGTGCCAATAAATCCAATCATCCGAACTAGAACCGTTATTTTCGTCACGGGTACCCCCTACACGTGACAATATTAATTTGGGACAGGAGAATATTCTGTAGCTGGCGTATGTTTTTTCATTATTCTGCATCGTGATGAAATGCAAGGTCAGATCTGAGTTACAGATAAACGGTGTTTGGCGGAGGGTGTAGGGCGATTATGTCCAATATTGAAAGATCAGTATATTTTAAAACATCCAGTATTTTGGAGCACCATTAAGCTAATCACATGGACAAAGATGGAAAACCAGCAGCAGATTTCTTGCCTTCCTACGTTTCATATCATCTCTGTCCTCCTCAGACACAGCTTGAAAATTCCTCTGCATCTTTTGTTTCATGAATCGTTCGTAACTGAGCAATATCCACAATGAACAATATCCACCTGAGAAAGCTGTCAGAAAACAGTTGATCTACCAGTGGTATGAGACTCCAGCCGTCTGTACATATACTGGATAGTTTTCATAACGGGCTGAGGAGAATGGACACTTTGATAATCCCCCCAAAACCCGCCTGCCCTTATTAAAAAGGACAACAGTGTCGTGTAAACTGTGCTGTTTTTATTACCGGTTCATAATGGTATGCAATAAAACGAGTTTGTTCTTTAGACAAAAATACAATTAGCTAGGACTTCAATGCACAATTCGCTTTTTGCCCACCAATATTACGTTCAGTGTGGTCACTGCTTGAGGTAGGCCTCTAGGCCCATTTGATGAAAAAGACGTTTTCGGAGTTGGACCTAGTCCCCGTCACTGGTTGGTTGTCTACTGTCACATTCCAATTTTTTTTTTTAAGATTACTGACTAAGATCGAAGCCATGACCTTCCGAACAGCAGGTTAATAAGTTGTTCACTAGTAGATTTTCTGCTACCCAAAACATCTCGATGCGATCGTGTTATTACGATTCTGAATGGCGAGCTTAGGGCTATGGATCTAAATGTTTAATACACGATAATGGTCTAGTATCTTTACTGGGAGGACTTTCTTTCTGTAGCTAAATAAATCTAGTAGCAAGGATTTTAACTAATGGAAATCACAGAGTAGGTATCCATTCCTGTAACCTGAAGGAGACAGAATCAGCCTCCAAAATGTAGTTCATATTTTAACCAAACAATAGGCCTAACCAATCAAGGGCCACTGCAGCATTTCTGGGGGTCAACTCGAAATAATCTCATCGGATATCGTAGTTACTTTGTAGAGTCGTCTAATTGGTAACTAGAAAGGTTCCTATATTAAATCCAGAGGTCACGAAAAGCCGACAGTTTCCATGAAATAAAAGTACTACTAATCTTTTTCAAAGTTTTACCGATATCCTGCTCCGAATCATTAAAATTATCCTCTTATTGGTAAAATGACCCTAAAGTTTAACCTAAATTAAATAAAATTCAGTTCGCATAATCACAGCATATCTATTTTATAAAATTTGTATACGCCACTTTTACGGTAGTGAAATCAAGGTGATTAAGATGGACTGAGCACGTAACTGGGACTAGGATACAAGAAGAGTGGAATTATGTGGAAGGCTGGTGGTAAAATGCACCTGGAAAGTAGCTGGAAGTTGGGGGAGGGTAAGGGGAACAGGTTGTGAAGGTGGGAGGTTAATGGAAACAGGCCAAGATCCTGTACAACACATGGCTCTACCATTGGAGGCGTTGGAATTTCGGATTCTATTACCGTTGTGGCAGTCACTTTAAGATATAATAAGTTAAAGCAGATATGTAGGATATAAATGTGGATATTAGTTCTCGATACAGTGATGGCATACACTTTACACTTCTAGCGGGGTCAATTTCAAGTTTCTTAACTATGCTTACTATGTCACTGCCACGTCACTGTAGCAGCTTCTTCAAAGTTTCACAAAACAAAGTCGTATGAATGGTCGGCGTAGTAGCGCTTATCGTCAGATGTAATTAGCCGAAGACAGAGAGTTTCCAAGCAGAAGGCCCGTTACTGATATCTCATAACTCCGTGGTTTTAGTCCGCAAGGGAACTATACCGACCGAGCGACCGCCGCTCGTCGGCGAAATTAGTGCCAACTTTAGCGGATAGAGGGTGTCGCGTGGTCAGCGCAACGAATTCCCACAGCCGTTAATTTAGGTTTTCTAGACCGAAGCCGCTATTTTCTTGAAACATCTCCTCAATTATCCTCACGAGACTGAGTGGACCCCGTTCCAGATCCAATTTTCTCAGAAAATCTGGTAGAGCCGGGAATCGAATCAGGATATCTGGATCTGTAACCAGGTACTCTGACCACTAGACCACAGAGGCGGTCGATATTTCATACCATATCAGATTTATAAAATATGTGACAGATCATATGACACGACGTTATACTGCGTCTTATGCTTGTTGAGATGAACTTCCGCAACAAATAGTCCTTTTACTGAGGCCGCGTTTCCCAATTTTAGTGTTCGATGAGATAACGCACAGCCGCCATGACAGATTCACGTGAGCGTTATGTTTAAACTTTCAAATAAACACGTCAACCACCACACCATAAAAATCTGAAGACCTACACACGTTTAAAATAATTAATCGTGTTAAACCTCATGCATTTAGATATACCGATTAAGTTTACTGTCATAATGAAGTAAGTAAAGGCAACTTACACAGGCTGTCGAGTTACTTAACGTGCATTATATCGGAAGAATGCAGTTTCGATCTCAACTGGACACAATGTCCACGAACTGCTACCGCGCGATCAGTTTCACGCAACACATTGTAACGAATACACGCTGAGTCGTACGGCACTGGAAGGAATATTTCTCACCGCCTGAACCAGACGACCGCCGAGGAGTATGCGTGTCCAACGCAGGAGATTTTGAATAATTTGTTTTTAAACTTCGTCTTTAAGGCTAAAATTAAACAGCAGCATTATACTTTATACTTATTCCGTCAGCAATATATTATAATTTCAGCCACATTCATCCAGATATCTTCTTTAGGGCGTTGATAAAACCAAATAGCTAGAATTGTTCCGAGAAAATCATTATTTTGTGTTTGGAGTCCATCTGAACAACTACTATTTTGGGAACTGGAAATCTCAGATTCACCGGGCAACGGCCTAGGATGGAAAAACTTTTGAATGCCGAATGCCGAATATGAATTAAATCCATCCACTCGTTCAGGCACTACCGAGACACATTACGTACTGTGGCCGTTTTATGTACTGAATTTAAAGCANTTAAATCCATCCACTCGTTCAGGCACTACCGAGACACATTACGTACATACATACGTGATGAGAGACGACATTCCAAAACCACGTTTTCAAAATACAGGGGACTAAAAACGTGTAAATCCAACATAATCTAGAGATATGTTTGTTTCACAGTACTTCCTCACATACACCACATATAGTTAGTTAGTTATTATAGAGGGTGGGTTTCCCCATGTACTTAGACCTGTAGTGGTCCATTGTGCTTCGCTCTATGATTTCTACCAGTCTCTATATCC